CTGAACCTCTGGAATTGAGTCCGGACCTGAACCTGAATGTGAGTCCAGGTACGCAGCACTATTTATGTCTTTTTATGCCTTTATTAGCTACTAACTTGAATTGTTATTCAAATGAATTAATCAATTATTTTTTATATTTTATTGTAATGTAGAGACAAGGCTTTTAGTGACAATCATGTATTGCTTTACAATTATATGTAATAAAAAAAAAGAGGCCTGGCACCCCCCCTGCGATCATTGGCCCCCCCAGGTTGGGAACCACTGCTTCATGGGATGCATCATTAGATCTATAAACTCTAACCATAACCCTAACCCTAAGACCCACGACCAAGCAAAACAAGTATCATTTCTTATGTGGCCTAATGTAAAAAAGGGGCGAAGTGGGAAAGGGGCTAAGTGACAATGGGGTGAAGTGACAATGGGGTGAAGTGACAATGGGGCAATATGGGAATAATTTAGGGGTGAATTGGGAAGGGGCGAAATGGGAAGACACCGGGGAAAAGACTAAATTCACTGACCACACATGAAGGCCATTGTGCGCAGTGTCTGCTGCATGAGGATCTGGGTGACAGGAGACAAGTTGTGATGGGTGTAGTGAGACATCACGATTCCCGCAAACAGGATGGACATTATTCCTGGAGGTGGGGAGGAAGAAAGACATTTAAAATAGTGGTATAAAGTCAAATATAAGAATCTCTAGCATGCATGGAGGAGTATGACACACCCACCAGACAGTTTGATGCCTTCTGCCAGTCCATAGGGAAGGTACGCAAAGATTATCATCATACCAAACTCTAGCGAAGGAGTCTTCCTCAGATCGAAGTGTTTTAGAAACTAATCAGTAAGTTAAGGAATTTAAACAACATGAAAACAGACAGAGTTTAACACATAACATAAACACACTAAAGGAGTCAGGATACAATAGCCGAGATGAGTCCAGTGAGTGTTCCCAGAGCAGCAGAACCAAAAAACATTTTGAGGAAATAACCCAACGCTTGTAAGAAAGTCTCCCAGCCTGTTACTGTGGAGTTGTCTGAGCCGGAAAAAAATCCCTCCGCCGTGCTGAAAGACAAAAGAGAGGAAAATAAATCAAGCCACAATATCAGTTACAAATCCTGAGTTGTGATACCTCTATCTGACCCTAGAGGGCGGAACAACTCCACAATTGAATACTACAAACTCACAACTCTGAGAGATTGTGTGTGAGATCAGAGTTTCTGCAGAATGTGTAATCCTTTATCAAAATCCTGTTTGGTAAACAGAGGTCAGTTGTATTGTATCAGCTCAGTGAATCAACAGGAAGAGTGACAGGAAGGAACTTATTGTGACATTTGGCGATATAAAATGCCATCTGAGCCACAGTAATTTCTTTTTAGAACGTTAAACATACATTTTCAAGGGTAAGGTGACTTTAAGCAACATGTAGACACATTAATGCCCAACAATAACTTAACATCTTTAATATGTTTCTTAGCAGTTAAAGCTGTCTATCAAGTTTATTCTTTGCACTCTAACGTAATTGGGTGGAAATGATTTATCAGCATGTTTTCATCCTAAAAGAAAAACATAATGGATGTGTTGAAGTTATTCTGCAGTAGGAATGCAGACAATCAATTTAATTATACAGTACAATCATTTTCTAATATCATTTATACAGACAAACAAACAGGCAACAAGATAATCTGATTTTAATGCTTATTAACAAGCTCTCAAACAAAAGGCATTAGCTGCGTGGCTCCTATAAACGACTAGGGCAAACTGTTAAGTAGCTTTTAATAAAACCAGCCTGTGAGGTGCTAACAACAAGCAAACTGCCAGGGCTGTGCGGCCTTTCCATTATTCATGTAGTCATTTACACCATGCGGGAATACAGACACTTGAGATCACTTTGCACATTTAGCCAATTGTGAGTAGGGTACTGTATAGTGAGTACAGAGTGAGCAGATAGGATCACAGTGATGTAGACAAACAAGAGAGCCAACTGTCTGTTCCTGTCAAACTTGTCTGACAAGATTTAGAGGGTTGTCGATTGCGACCCCTATTTTGTTGACACGAACAATCTTTATAAACAATTCTGAGAGAATAGGTCACTAAATTGCCTATGATGACCGAAAGTTTCCGAACACTAAACATACGAGGCAGCAAAGGGACATTTGCTTTTCAGTCCTGCAGGCTTCCTCACTGATTGCCCTGTAGGTGTGTGTTCCAAGATGGCAGCACGTTGATTTTTTTCTGTCACGGGGTGCTTCTCTATATCACACCGCAGTACTTTTCCCACTTTAGTTCCGATATAGTTCCGAAATGTTGTGTTCACACCAAAAAAAACCCGAAAAATAAAATTAGTTCATGAGAACCTTTTTACCCCCTTTTCCATCCCTGCTAGAGATCAGGGACTTTCGTGGGAGAAAAAGGTTCCTATTTCTGATTGGCTGGGCGGATTGAAAACCACGCCCCGTAAAACTCCCAAAAAGTGTTGTGAAGCCGCCATTTTATTACCCTCGCATTAGCATTATTAGCATTGGCATTAGCCCAGCGCACAAACGCAGAGAGAATAACTTATGGCAACACAAAAGAAAACATGGGAGCGGTGGAGATGAGGAGGTGTCAGCGTTCTGGTGATTTACTCAGAAGGCTTCAGTAGAAGCCAGTCCCAAACTCCGGGGACTTCCGGCCGGGGACTTCGGGTGGCAGTATACGCCGTGAAGTTGTTTGCGGCCTGCCAGTAAACCCAAA